ACATACCGATGGCCGAAGAGTACTGTTTGAGCGCTTCGTGATATTTCTTCTGTTTGTAGAGTTTATTTCCCTCTTCTTTCTTAGTCTCCGCCACTCTATAAGTGAATCCATTGTTAATATAAATGTTAAATACAATCGCTTTCACCATAATTACGACAATCACTACAACTCATTACATCCACTCATTAGTCAACACAACACAAACCACAGAGAAATGCGGACATAAGAGCCCAACACTTGTGGCAACACTTTCTTCGCACACAATATGCCATCACTTCGTGTTATAAATCATTGATCCCAATAAATGACTCATCATTTGGTTTAGGGGTCAACCCATGCATACAATCATTGCAATGAACTTACGGTTCATAACTATAATAGGCTATAAAGTGCTCATAATTTGGCTCATAATATGCCAAAACATGTGTCCATTCATTCAACTCTTCCTTAAAATGATTCAAACAATTGACAACAAAACGGCACAAAACATGTCATGTATTGCATAATCAGTTCATTTCTTCCAATACTCACTGAAGCCCACAAAACGCTTCCTAAAGTTAGTGAAGATAGAGGCCGAGCCTCAGGTACAGAAGCAGCTGCCGCTAGTGCCCAAGTGGGTTAAACCGCCTGTATCGCAACCGGATTGAGACCCGTGTTTGAGACACAACGAAACACAGAAACGCACTCAAACTCTATGGCAATCGCCACCAATCGCTCGCAAACTGCTCAATACAAACACAGCTAACAGTAATTACGTTCAATGAATGGCACAGTTGTGTGGGTAGAGTAGGAGAGTGTGAATGCGCTCAACGGGGTCTCAATGGCCAACAAAACTGGTTATAACGTAATAGTTATGTTGATTTGACGATACGCTTACAGTTGTAATGGCTTGTAATGGCCACACATTATCCCACTCTTCATTATAACGGACTAATTACCAGTTTATCCACTTTCAAAGTGTCTTAGACTCTAATGCGTTAATAATGGGTCGAATTGAAGGGGCAATACGTTATTGACCACTAATACTATGCCTACCCTATGCTATGCCTCTCTCCTTATCCCTAACCAACACTTATTGCACAATAGGTTTTCATTTTGAGAATTACAGTACATTTACATTGCATTGCGAACAGAGGTTGAGATCTATAAAGGAGTAATTCTTCAAACGTTTTTCCCCTTTAATTGAAGACAAGGTATTAATGAGTGGGAGAGCGAAGGGAGAGGTTGTTATACCTTATTGTAAACTTAGTCATCGAATACACCGTAACAATCATTACACCCATTACTCCCTATGAAAGTACAGTCAACTTTCACTGTCAGTTTCACTGAAGTTTTTGAAAGCAAAATTCTGTTATGAAGTTATAATTAGAACTCGAAATATTCGGGAAGAGAAACATACAAAAAAGGATCGGTAACCCCGAGTAAAACAGTCAAATTGGGAATTAATGTTAATTTTAATTAAACACAATAGTCATACGTTAGAATTATTTAACAGTAAACATGAATTATATTTAATAATAACATGAAGTTTGAAATTTTCTTCTGTGAATGTGTAAGAATATTGTGAGTTTGGCGTTTATATAATCCCTTTGTCACCGATTATTTTAACTTTGTAACAGCTTTTGGTATTCATATTTCGTATTTCATTAAAATTTTTAATGAAAAATAATATTTGAGTGCATTTTAGAGATTAGTCATAAAAATCGTTTTACTGGAATTTTCCTAAAATATTCCAAAATCGGGAATATTCGGGAAAATAAAAGCAGTTAATTTTTGCAATAAAATCATGAACTAAAGCATTAAATGTAATGCATTAAATGGTTGTTATACACCAATATTATATTATCTAATTTTATTTGGGAGTCTAGTTAGGATTGGCTTCAAATACTGATAATAATTATGATATTAATTATAATTAACTTTAAAAAATATTTATACGATATTTGTAAATTAACATAACATACTTGGGTTGTTAGGCTAAAATGTAGAATATAGTATTATAAGTTATAATTTATAACATACATGTAAAATAGATGTTAGCGATAGTCTGATCAGGAATTTCATAAACCATTTTACGTATCGATTAATTGGTTTTGTAATGTATTGAAGGAATTGAGGAAATTTCGATTCAAATAACGCGAAAAATGAGATCAAATTTTGAAACAAACGTTTTTATTCAATAATTCATACATTCAGTGTAATTATATGCCTATTAATTGATAAATAATTGTCATAATAATCATAATAATATATAACATATAATCAGAGAGAACACACAAATTGAGATATTTATTCTAACTTATACTCAAAACAAATTTTTATTAAATAATATTTCGTTCAAATAATTCAATAATTAAAGTAATAACTGAATGAAAAAAATTATTGTTTTAATACAATAATCATCGAATCATATAATTGAAAACAACAGTCACTTAATACTAATAATTGTATTATTATTATAAATGAATAACTATTGAGAAATCTTTCAGCATTTCAATAGAATTTGAAGAATAGTTTGAAAAAACGAGTCAATAGATTATTAATAGAGAGAAATGAATATTACTTGTAATCGATTTATAGTTAGAAAACAAAAAAAAAACAAATGGAAATAAATGGATAAATCAATCAAATTCCTCAATGAATCCGTTTCTACTGTTTCGGGGCTGATGTGAAACCACAGGCGGTTGCGGCTCAACATTAGCTCCAGTGCTGCGCCGACGGGCGGCCCTCTCCGGGCTCAACAGCTCTTCAATCGTGTCGTTCACATCCATACCGTTCTTCTCAAGTAATTCTTGATTTAGCTTTTGGTTCCAAAAACCCATTTCGAAGAGTTGTTTCAACGCACCGGCCATTCGTGTCGGCGCCTCTTCGGGTTGGCTCACAGGCGTAGCCACCGGAGCAGTCGGTGCGGGCATACGTGGAGGTGTCATAAATGAAACAGCGGGTGAACTCATATGATTAACAATCGGCGTATTTGGTCCACTCGTGTGCACAGATGGCGGACTCATTGGCTCATAGTATGGATGCTGTTGGGCCTGTCGTCTGTCCCAATACATGTCAGGCAGCGGGAGTGCCGCCGGTGGGGGAGATGTAACCCAAGCAAAGTTTGTGCCCTAAAGTAAATTATGACATCAATTATGAAAATAACAAATTATACTCATTTTGACAAAATGTTACCTCATTTCGTGAAAACAGCGCTCGACTAACGTTGTTATATACGTGTGCGGCCGCAGAGAGAGCGCCGGTAACTATACTTTCCGGCAATACGTGGATAACATTTTCGGTTTCATTTGTGTTGTTTCGGAAAGGATTTGTCGATGGGTTCAGTGTTTTTGGTCTAACCTGTGGTTCGCTCTCTGTTTGCGGACCATTCATATCATTACCACTTCTGTCGGCAGTGGAGAGCGGTTCCGACTGAAGCAACTGCTCGCCACTCGCGTGTCTATCAGTTGTCAAATCTAAAGCAATTCCATCGTTCGAGTCCTCAATATTTACACTTCGAGCCAATTCTGTATTTCCATCCAAATGTGTGTTATCTTCATCTGATTCAGGAGTTTCGTCGTCTTTATCGTTGCAATCATTGATTACTTCAAAGCATTTATCGTTATCTTTATTGAGAAGATTGTCGTCATTTTTAATGTCTTCAAAAGCTTTGTTGTCAACACCAGTGAAGGGAACGTTTAGATCGAAACAACTCGGAAACGGAACCAAAACAAACTCATCAGAACTCTCGCCAGAACTCAGGCTCAACACATCCAGAGACTCGTTGTCCGATTCGTCGGCTTTGTCTTCGTTGGCCGTATCCGTTGTCGAGTCATTTCGTTGCTCTGCTTCTCGTTTATCGGCGGCCGAGATATGAGTGAACGCATTGGCGGCCGAATTGGGTTCGGGAGACTTGGGTGGCGACACATCGAATGGTGTGTTGGCCGGAGTGGCTGTGTGTGACTTCACGTTACATCTCATGCCAATCGGTTCGCTGTCTTCCAAATCAAAGCGTATTTCTTTCACAGCAGTCAAGGCTTCCGTCAGTTTCTTCACTGAAGTCTTTTGGGTCTTCTCTTTGCTGTTAGTGAGCGCCGATTGCTTAGCGCTGGCCATCGCTTTCAAGCGATCGCTCAAATGGCGCTGAGACTCGAGGATCGAGGCGTGAATGTTGGCGATTGACTCAAAGTTGCAGTTCGTCGCACCGATGCCGTAGTTGGGACTCAGATTCAGACTCGACTTTGGAGTGGCTTTGGGGGCCGGCGGTGGCGGCAGCAGTGGGTGAGCCAACGCAGTGGGCTTTGAGTCCTTTGACAGGATTGGAGCCAATGGTGTCAACGGCTCGGCCATTGGGTCGACAACCACTTTACACTCGAGACGCTGTCCGAAAGGCTGTCCCCTGTGGTGAAGTCGCCAATGGCTTTGATAGCGTGTGGGTGTCGTCGGATTGGGAGTAGTAAAACGAATAGTAACTCTTCCCTCTTCGCCGGGTCTAAGAGTCGGCGCCTGGACTTCAGTGACGCGTCCGAAGGGCTCCAGATCTGAATGACCCCAAACGAAACGCAGTGTTGTCCGACCCGTCCATACTTTGGTGCCAGTGTTTCGCACTTTCCATGTCTTCCTGAAACGAGTGTTGGGAGGAATACGTGTGCCCTCAGGTATGGTCTCATCGCCCACCAAAAGTCCGCTCAAATAACTGCACAAATTCAACAAATTTATAAATATATATCTTAAACAATATAAAAATTAGTAATCATTACAGTTTTTTATTGGAAGTAATGGCCGGGTGTTCATGGATTCGCCACTCGGGGACGCTATGAGTAGTCGATTTAAGTCTCTCGGAGACCGTAGCGCCCGAACGATCATCACTTGATTGCAACAAATTGTTATACATCTGACTCTTCATTCTGAAAAATATATATAAATAAGAATTACATTCTTGTAATCATACAAAATGAGGACAAACTTTAGTTTTTCCAATTTCTTAGCGATTTTATTGGCTTTCCTTTCGGTGACATATTTCCTGAGATGGACTTGTGATCCGACAGCACCGGCCTCTTCCTCACCGCTTTGCGCAATAGTAGACGTATTGTCGCATTCATTATCGTCCTGTTTATTGGGCACAGAATTGTCCCTTTGATTAGTCGGAGTCTGAGTTGAAGCCGAAGGAACGGGTTTCGACAGATTAGTGCTACTAATGGTTCCGTTCCTTAAGTCGACATCCAATGCGAGGATAACGTCGTGAGTGTTTGGATCGACAGTCGCTGACGAGAGGAAAGGCGTTAGAAATCCCAAGTGTTGTGGAATCGCCTGTTGAGGAATACCTCGTATGTATCGCTCGATTTTATTAAACTTATGGTTCCGGTCGTGAACTGACGGCAATTGTTTGCATTTCTCGCATAAATCAAAATCCAAACAATTGATACATTTATAGCGAATGCCTTCGATCTGAAGATCGCAATTGTCGCAAATGATGCCCTCGTGAACCACTTTCACGGTCTCCACTGGTGGCTCTTGTGAAGCCGTTTCGGATCGCATATCTGATCCCGACGTGGAATTGCCATTCACTGAGCCATTAATGCTTTCGGTAGTGATTTCTTGTAGGCATTCAGTGAGCTTTGAAATCAAGCGTTTTGTCACATCGATTGTGATCTCATTCTTAATGTTTTCAATTTGTGTTTTAGTCATTACAACCAAATTTCATTAATGCTTTCGGTAGTGATTTCTTGTAGGCATTCAGTGAGCTTTGAAATCAAGCGTTTTGTCACATCGATTGTGATCTCATTCTTAATGTTTTCAATTTGTGTTTTAGTCATTACAACCAAATTGGCGTCAATTTGTGTCGCGGAGTCGGACCTACTCTTAGGCTCAGCGTCTGACTGATTGGTGTCCAACAAAACGAAACCATTTCTCTCAGAACTGCAATTGGAATCAATTGACGATCGTTTCGATTCTTTAGCCTTATTTTTATCGGTCTCGCGATAAGCATTGCAAATGTTGCCACTCTTATCGCACATCCCATCCATTGTATTACAAATGACAACATCCAGTGGTTGTCCACAGAGTTCGGCGACCTATCAATTAATTTAGCATAAAATCAGCTAATCTTTAAAATCACAGAACAATAAACACACAAAAAATAAATAAATACCAAAAACTCAGCACTAATGGCAAAGATTGACATTTTGTATGATATTTATGATTATAATCACTGTTTAAAAAACACAATATAAACAATACAATAGCGAAAGACAACTAACTATCGGCTGTAAAACGCAAACCAATCGTTAGGTCTAAACTCGTAAATACATTCTTCACAACCAATCGTAACAACAATTCTTATCATTCATTTCATGTAATCATTTGTTGTCTTTATAGAAAAGCGAGAGCTTTACAGTCAGAATCATATGATTCTCTTTATAAGACTTATGCAATGCATTCATTCATTATTACTGTATTTAATGTCTAAAGTCTAGCATATCTTGATTTAACAACAAAAACATTTCTACAATACATAACAAAAGAGTTTTAACGAGAAGTGCATTCAAAACTTCAAGTCATGGCAAGAAAATGAATATTTTTATGTAATAATAGGTGCGGACGTGAAGTGAAGGTAATCGACAAAATTTTTATGATAATTAAGTGGTAAAAACAATTACATCAAACACTAACCCCCACTAAAATATCTATTAAAGCAATTTTAAGTTTAAGCAAAAATCACAAACTGTGAAGTGAAGGCAATATTGGACTTATAAATCAATATCTTTATAATTATAAAAACAAATACAAAGTATACTTTAGTTTATAACTAATAACTAAATTTAGAAATTATATCTCAAATAAATATAAAACAGAAATATAATCACAAAATGTGATTCACAGCTCTCGACACACAAAACGCTGATTAATTAAAAACAAAATCACAATTGAAAATACAGTTTCACTAAATTGTATTGTAATTCACAAACACTTATAATATTAGTATATTGTTATATAATAGAGGAGTTCTGGGAATCACGTAATAATAGATAATAAACTAATGCATTGAGAAATGCGTACAAAACAAATACCAAACCATAATCTCAAACAACAAATCATTTGTAAAAAAGTGAAACACTTTTTCAAAAACTATATTCAATAAACAATTTGAGGAAAATTATTGCAATAAATGGGTTCTCATTCCTAAAAGTGTGTCAAAAAATGTAATTTTCATTCAAATGATGCGTTCGTTCAACAAATTATTACACAAAAGCATTTGTTTTTATAATCTAATGCTTAATGCTTTCAAACGTAAACATTTAATTTGATTGTAATTACAAGTGTTTTAATGTCAACGCAAATAATGCAATACTTTTTGGCTATAATCGATATTTTTAAGCAATTTGTGACAAAAATTATAAGCAATTAAACCCTAACTTGGAAAAGGGCTGACCCTATGGCCTGAGGTTATGGCAAATATAGTGAGTATTGTATTTAAAAACCATTTAAAAACTAAAATATAATTAAAAAATAGTAAACAAACAGAAAGAGGACTCACTTTAAGAGCAGTCAAATACTCGTCGTCGTTGACGAGCGGCGCCTCATAGCCAGCGGACACAACCCGTCCCATAAACACCACATTCTTGGGCGCTGTTGTCTTGTCCTTGAAGNTTAAACGCGGCATATATTTCATGGCATTCATTGTCTGGACATTCAATGCCGTGTCGTTTGATTGAAAATATAGCGTTAAGTCTTTGAGTTTCAAACACTTTATGCCAATTGCCATAAGACTACCATTAAGTGAATACTGAAGCGGTTCTCCAAACATCTCAAATCCAAGAGATAATTGTTTTAATTCTTGAAATTCATTCAATTGTGTCAACAATCGAGTGATCATTGCTTGCGATTCAATCGATTGACTCATTTCACTGAATCCAAGACATCGGAGACGAGATTTATAATAAGCGACAAACACTTTATAGGCATTGAAATCGATGTCATTGTCACTCATCTTGAAATGAATGTCATTTAAACGATTGAATGTCAGTAACTGATTGTCTTCGGCGGTAAACATAGATCGGAAGCCAATATCCCATATATAGGGCAAATTGGGACAATGGGTCAGATATGGTAATAGATGCTCGTTATGGCAGTCAAATGATGTAACCATTTGCCCAAATGTGGTGAATAAGTATTGAAGCATCTGATGGTCTGTTTGCTGATAATTGATGCCAAAGTCAACACTCTTGAGATGCGGCCAACTGTTCCGCAAGTGATGAATCGCCTCAAACACTGGCCTAATATAAGGCGATTGACTCACATTAAAACCATTAACGAAATAAACGTTTTGAATGTTTGGACACTTTTTCTGAAAGAATGCAATCAATTTGCGACACAATTCTTCGTCCGACAGATCCGTGTCTTTGGCTCTAATTTTGATGATAACGTCGTGACGAATAAAGATATCATCGATTGTGTCGAATATCACTCTCTGGAACTGTTTGGACACACATTCGTGTGGATATCGTTCCTCAAAGATATAACATCTGTGATCCAAATGGTATGACAATAATAGTCGGACCAAATCATCACCGAATCGATCGAAAGAGTCTTTTGCATAAGTTTTAGGCTTTATTTAACGAAAAGTTATATTTGTCTTAAATAATTGATTGAATCATTTATTTTGCTATTTATTAAAATACCTTTAGTTTAATCGTATTGTCATTCTTCCAGTTCTTTGGACCCAAACTCTTCGCCCAATTGTACAATCGATACATCACTTAATGTCCAACACTTGCGATAATACCTTAAATTAAACTGAATTTATATAAAATTCAAATATTTATTGTTAACGCGAGAAACTTATAAAACAAGTAATTAATATAATAATTTGTTTTATTTGGAAAATCAATTTTATTTAATCAAATTGATTTATGAATAACTAACGATTAAATAATTAAAACCTATGTTTAATCATTTTTATTGTTATTTATTGTTAATATTTAAAATAAATTTTGCATTTTATTTTGTTTGCAATTTATAATTGTGTTTATTTTCAAGTGTTAAAAATGAAAATAGATATTTATGTAATATCTTTTGTTATCTAAGATAAGTTACGACCAATACTTTAATTGTTATATTGAATAATACTCTCCTTCACAAAAAGCATTTACTGAACGCTAATTGTAAAATATTGATTTTTATGGTATAATAAAGTATACAACACACATTGTATATGTGTTATATGTTATAGAATTTGTATTTTATGCATAAAATAGTTAGTATTGATTATAAATTTACAAATCGTTTAAAACAAATAATTAAAATATTAAAATCAATGAATTTATAGTTTGTATGAATCGGTAAATATATTAATTTTACGGCATTAAAAACAAGACGTTTAGCGAATCGATCGAAATTATAGATGCATTTCATTTGAAAACAATTAGTTTTATCACATTTTATTAAATAAAAATTAAGATATTAACGAAAAATACATAATATATTTATATATAAGTTAGATTTAATAAATATTAAGAAAAATGTCTCCAAATCCGTATAAAATGCTGAGGAGGGAATATGCCCTTCGTAAATTTAATTTAAGCAATTTAAACCATATAATTCTATTTAGAATGATAACTAAATTCTATTAAAGCGATAAAATTCTGCGAATGGGCTTAAACATAGTTAATATCAACAAAATTAGTTGTGCAAATTTAGATAATAATTTCAATTTTGGCGCTGGTATTATCATAAATATCTATTCATAACCGTTGACACCTTGCTCAGTTTTACTTATTCATAAAATAATGAATTCATACCATCAACATTTAATAATATATTTCTATATTTGGTAAATTTGACAAATAATATTACTAATAGTAAACAATCTTTGCAATCATTTACTATTTTCATTAATTAAAATTTG